TCTATCCCACACTCATTCCTGTCAACGTTTCACCAAGTAGCCACCCCGGCGCAGACACAGTACTCTCGTGCGACATGCGGTACTCACGCGTTTTCGCGATGGTGCCCGTGTATTGTCTCGCAAGCGTCGATTCCTGCCTGTTGATCGGATAGTCCTCTCTGTGGATTGGCACTGGGTAGGCCTGCCCGACGTCTGACGAGCCAGCCTGGGTTGCCTCAGCCACCGGCGGCAGAGGCGCAGGGCGATAGGTGTTCTGTTGTAGGTAGCCGGAAGGGTTGAGCGAATACGGCAAGTCCGGAACATTACTGCAAACACACAGCAGTGTTAGGCTTATATGAAGAACTCCCAGCAATCACTACGTAGACATACACGTGCTAGTGCCAGTTCTATGAAATGGCTACCTGTCCATAAAGAAGTCTTTTGGTAGTTTCCTTGATTAACCCATATGATATATGGTCATTTGTATTGTATTGTATTCTAATTTTGGTATTGTATAATATACAATTTTGACTGTATTGTTAGTGCAGTGGCCAGGTGCATCTAGGAGCCATACCATACTAGCTCCTAGAATTAGAAAATGGCTTCCATTACCATATTGTGCTGATTGGTGTCAGCATGGTTGTAAGAATGTATCAGAATCGTGTGCGAGTAGTTGAATCATACGGAGCCAGTCACGAGAGAGAAGGATGAACAATTAGTGGATCAGCCAGGATGTATATGCAAATTCACATTTAAAAGCAGCGCGTTTTCAGTCTTATTGTGGAAAGCGGTTGATAGGTGGAATGAACTTGTCTGCTTGGGAGCAGTAGCAGAAGACTCACGTAGCGTCACTCGGTTTCTGCGTATCAGGTGGGACTGGTCCGTATTTGAAGCATATGCACATGCTTCCAATCTCCTCCCTGCGTGTAGAAACAAAATACCACACGACTAAAACGGCTTTTTGGTGGACAATAAGACAAAAGTAAGGGTACAGACTATGGTATAGGTAGAGACAGATGTAATGGTACAGACAGAGGTAAG